AAACCAGTTGTCACCCAGAAGCTCTCATGGTGTCACCTTCCTGGCAGGGCTTCAAATTTATTGCTTCATTTCCACCTCTTCCCTCTTTCAGTGTGACTGCTCACCTGCAGGGCAGGAGCAGAGACCACCCTGTCCTGCTGAGTGTTCACAGCTCCTTGACTCAGGATGAAGCAGGAGGAAGCAGACATGGGCTTGCTGAGGGGACAGAGATGCATTTTGGGGACAAGTAAGTGGTGCAGAGCCCATCAGGTCCCTGCTCCTGTCAGTGCAGCCCTGCTCTCTGGGTTCTCTCTGAGTTTGGCCTTGCCAGGAGCAGGGATAGGGTGGGCACCATGTCCTGGGGTCTGAGGTACCCTCTGAAGGTGGCAGCCAACCCCAAACCCAAGCAGGTGCTGGAGGGAGCCCCTGTGTGAGCCACACACAGCTCCAAGGCAGGCTTGTGCCATGGTGGCACATCCACATTGTCACTCCTGTCTCAGGGAGGGAGCAGAGCAGCCAGAGCTGGATACCAGCAGCCAGCGTTCCAGCATGGACTTGCTCCCTCTGGATGTGTTACTCTCCAGCCTCTGTGGCTGCTGGGATGCTGTGGGAGTGTGGCAGAGCTGTGTGCCTGCTCCAGGTCAGCACAAAAAGCTCTGTGCAGGTGCTGTTAATGCTCCTCGGTTGCTCAGAGTTTTGGGGCAGGCCTGGGGGCAGAGGGTGGGAGGTTTCCCCTCCTCTCCTCTGTGTGGACCTTCTCCCTTTCCTGGGGATGTGGTAGCAGGTAAATCCAGTTGGACCAGAAAAACTATTGATAATAGGGGAGGGAGAACAAGATAAAGGAGCAGCCCATGGCTTTGTTGTGCAAAAGCACCGGCTGACCTGCCAGGAGCCCTCACCCCCAGGTGCTGGAGCAGGGCCCTGCAGGTAAACAGCTCCAGGGGTGCAGCAGGGCTCCTCTGCCAGGCTGAGCAGCAGCACCTTGGGTGCTGCAGGGCTTTCCCAGCTTGGCCTGGCCAGCCCTTGGGGTTGCAAAGACACTTCCTGATCCTGGGGACATCCCAAGTCTCCCTGCATCCCTGCAGTGTCAGATGGGACCACACAGGTGGCTGGACAAGGGGCTGGCTCACCCACCCACACTCACACATGGTGTCCCCTCTCCCCAGCTTTGGGGACAGAGCCTGGCCTGACCCCAGGGATGTGTGGCTTTGAGCAGACCCCGGGGACTGGTTGCTCTGCTAAGAGCAGGGCAGGATCAGCTGCTATCTGCTCTGCTTGGTCCAGAGATGACATCTTGGTCCAAGATATCTTCTTGGTCCCCCAGGAAGGGAGAAGGCAGTGGTTTGCATCATCACCCTAATTTCTCAGAGGTGTTTCCCAGCTCTGCACCCCTCCTGGCACAGCTCAGAGCCTCCCAGGTTGCCCCATGCCACTGGAGAGGTGTCACAGACATCTTTTATAAAAAATCCTTTCCTTTGGATTTTTCCTCCTGAGAAGCTGAGAGGCCTCAGGAACAAAATGTAACCAATGGTTATCTGCTGCTGTGGAATGCAACAGGTGCATCTGGGATTGGGCTCATGTAGTTGTTTCTAATTAATGGCCAATCACAGTCCAGCTGTCTGGACTGTCTTGGTCAGTCACAAGCCTTTGTTATCATTCCTTCTTTTTCTATTCTTAGCCAGCCTTCTGATGAAATCCTTTCTTCTATTCTTTTAGTATAGTTTTAATATAATATATATCATAAAATAATAAATCAAGCCTTCTGAAACATGGAGTCAAATCCTCATCTCTTCCCTCATCCTCAGACCCCTGTGAACACGGTCACAGACCTACTCAGGGCCTTGTAGAGACTGATAGAGCCTCCTCTTCTCCAGGCTCAACAACTCCAGCTCCCTCAGCTTCTCCTCACAGCATTTGTGTTCCTTTACCAGCTTTGTTGCCTTTCTCTGAGCAGTTTTGCTGCACTCCTGAGCCCCTTTCACCCCCCTGCAGCCTGGGGGTGTGGGCAGGAGGGCAGAGCTCAGCCCTGAGCATCTCTGGTCCTGCAGCCAGTGCCCTGCTGCCACCCTGCTGCCACCCCCATCTCCAGGCACCCTCCGTGTGGTCACTTCTCCTGCCTTTGGTTGCAGTAACACCTACAAATCCACCCCAAAGCCGAGCCGGGAGTGCCAGGGAGCTGTGCCTGACCCATTTCCCCCCGGGCAGGGGGAGCTGTGGCCGAGCCGCTCCTGTGCCCTCCCCGCCCGCAGGCAGGGGCCGGGTGTCACCTCCAGGGACATCTGTTGGTCACCTCCAGGGACATCTGCTGATGAATTTTTCATGCTGCCACTCCACAGCAGCCATATGGCCCCCGTTCTCGTTCTCGGGGGGAGACACAGCTCTGCCTTTCAGGGACCTGCTCTGTGAGCAGGTTTTTGGCACTTTCTTAAATGTGCCTCTGACCCGTGCTGAATGAATTTGGATGTATAAATCCTCCAGGAGATTTTTGGAGATCTCATTCTCCCACCTGCACAGTTCATCATGGCAAAGACCACGAGATTTTCCTCCACCAACCTGTGGCTGGCAGCCAGCTGGTGCAAAATATGTTTATTCTCCTCTTGTGCTCTCTAGCCACGGGGAGGGATTGGGTTCTGTTTCCAAGAAGTAATCACTGGAATAAAAAGCCCAGGCTAAAAATGATACTTGCTGGTTTCCATTGTAATTTCTTTTATGTTCTTTTCCTAATCTTTATTTGGCAACTACCATCCTAAAAGGTTTTTCACACTTATTTAACTTCTAAATTAAGCACCACTTAATTTTGGGGCATAGTCCAAAATGCATTGTAGCGCAAAACAAGTAGAGCAGATGAAGAACTGTGCATCTCATTTTCACCCCGCTGAAAATAAAACCAACAGTAGAAAACCATCTATCATGGAAACAGTGAGATGTGAAGAAACCAGCTCCTCCAGCCCTTGAAGCTGCCACTCCACCAGCATTTGCATGATTGGGCCATAAATGTTTCCAAATGGCAAATTCCTGACTTTCCCCAGGTCATTTCCCCTGGACCATTGGTCATCCATCTGGAGCCAAGCCTTGCTGTGTCCCTTGTGACTGACTCGAGCAGTTGGTAATAATTAGCTGTGGTTAACGAAGGGCCAGAGTCAGGAGCACGTGAGCCAAGCACCGGATTGCAGGGAGCACATCCAGCACCGTGCAAGGCAGAGCAAGGCAGACCCTGGCTCACACAGGGTGGGGACAGCTCCAGCCTGGGGGACCCTGAGCAGGACCCCAGACTCAACCATGCTCTGCTGGCTCTGAGTTTTCAGCAAAATGCCTTTACCCTGAGGGCTGGGAGCAGTTTTTAGTGATAGAGGGAAAAAGCATCAAACCCTCCATCGATGCACCCCCATTTCCCTGAGCTGCCTTTTGCTACTGGGGTATGTGTGACCCCCTGTTCCCGCCTGTTCTTCTTCAGCTTTAGCTCCAGCTGGGCTTTAAGCTCAATCTCATCCCTGTGTGTCCAAGTGCTCATGGTCTGTTCTGTCCTTCCAGCTGTTCTCTCCTTCCCTGAGACAATTCCTACCCAGCCAGCCTTCCTGCCACAGCTCCCCTGCACAGCAGCAGGGAGGGGTCCCTGCAAGGTTGCTTTAAAATCAGGGGGCTCCCTGCAAGTTTGCTTTAAAATCAGTCTGGTCAGGATCCCTTTGTGGTGTCCCTGGTCCAGGGTCCTCTCTCCCAGTGGGACAAGGCCAGCAGTGACAGCACTGCCAGCCTCAGGCACTGAGCTGCTCCTGTGTTCAACCACAGCCTGGGCACTTTGTGGATGCCAATGTGGTGCCACCCCCACACAGCCAAAATTCCCAGAGGACCAGGGCTGGCAATGGAGGGATCTGCAGTAATGGAAGCAAGTGGAGATTGAAGCCAACTCCTGTTAAAATGTGCTTTGCTTTTATCTCCCTTTGAACCTGTCTGGGCAGGCTGGAAAGGAAGTGGGGAGTGGTTTGATCTGAGGGGATAAAGGAGTGTTGGGGAAAATGCAGGCACGGTGGGGCTCAGGGACAGGGACAGGGGTCAGACCCAGGTTTTGGGGCAGAATAATGCAAGAGGGTATTTGTGGAGGGGCTGGAGGTGTGTGAGAGCCTGGAACAAGATGAGTGCTCAGGGAGCCATGGGCAAAGGGTTTGGATGGAGCAGGGCTCACCAAGTGCTGCTCCCCGAGTCTGGTGACTTCCTAAAAATCCAACCCCCCAAAATTCCTACAGCTCAACTGAAAAGGCTTGTTTGCCTGCTGAGTCCCTTCCCCCACTGCAACAAACATTTTGGTATGCATATCCTTCAGTTCACAGGCTGGTTCTTTCAGAGTTGAACTAAAATAACACCAAGATATTCTTTCGAAAAAGAAACTGGAGCACATCCTCTCCAAAAATACCAAAATAATTCATGCAAAATTTCCCCCAAACCCTTTCCTCCTTTTCTCCAACCCAAACTCTTTGTCGAGCTTCCCACAAAGCCCTGAAAGGTTTTGTTTGCTGCAAATGCAGACGATCCATTCAGCCAGGACGTGGCCGGGGACCCGGGGGCACCACCCCAACCGTGTCCCCCTCCTCTTTAGTGGCCAGCACCCCATCAGTGCCCCCCCTTCTCCCCCACATTTGTGGGGTTCCCCCACATCCTGGCGGGTTTAGCGGGTGGCTGTGACAGGACGCTGCTGTCGGGGTGCCGACTTCAGAGCCTGCAGTTTCTGAGGAGCATAAAATAGTAGTAATAATAATAATAATAATAATAATAATAATAATAATAATAATAATAGTGTCCGAGCACATGCTCGGGGGTGGCACCGCGGGGCCGCCGGGTGTCCGTGTGAGTGCAGCCCAAACACACCCGTGTTTGAGTCGGACAAGAAAGTTACAAAAAGGGGAACCCAGCTTGTGAGACGTGGGTGGGTGACATGAAGAGGTGGGAAAAAAAAAAAAAAAAAGAAAAGAAAAAAAAAAAAAAAAGAAAAAAAGTTCCCTTCTGGTCTGGGTAAATGTTTAATCCCCAGCTAGAAGAAAATGCAGCTCAAAAGTGCTTTTTTTCTCAGCAAGTCTGAACCAGTCAGCCTGGTGCCTCCTCCCTCCGGCTTGCACCCTCCCTCGCCGCGCTCCGGAGGAATATCCCAGCCTGCTCCAAAGCGCAGCCGAGCGCCCGGGGCAGGACGGAGGAGCAGAGGGGCCGGGAAGTTTGTGTGCCCGGGGCTGGCTGCCAGCTCCCGCTCTCCCGCACGGCTCCAGTGCCTGAATTGCCCAGGATGGGGTCCCCGCACTGGAAAAGGCTCTGCCTTCTGCTCCTGGCGGGTTTAACATCCTCCCTGCTCCTCTACAGCCACTACCACGCTACGGTGGAGGCGCCCAGCAGCCCGAGGATCATAGCCAGGTAAGGGGGACGGGGATGGGAGAGGGCTGGGAGGCAGGGATCTGAAAATGCCGTGTGTGGGATGGGGAGGGGGAATCGGGGTGCCGGTGCGGGTCCCTTAGGGCTGGTGATCGCAGCTCTGCCCCCGGCCGGGTTGGAAAATGGGCTGGCAGCGAGCTCTGAGGAGTCCTGGGCACCGGCTCCTGCCCGCGGCGCCCAGCGCTGCCCGGAGCGGCACCCCAAGGCCATGGAGGGTCTCCAAGGGTCCCCACGCTGGGCTGAGCCCCTCCAAGGGCTCAGCGCATCACGGTGCAGGGCAGCCCCTGCTGAGTGCAGGGACGGCCGGGCGTGGGGATCCAGCCGCTCCCGGAGCCGCCGCGTGTTCCCGCCGGGCTGGGGCGGGACCGGAGCCCGCTGATTGTCCCGGGCGAGCAGAGCAATCCTAAGGAAGAAGTTCCCATGGCCCCAAGGGAGCTGCACCGAGCCCCCCTTGCAGAGGCAGGGCACGGCTGCCCCGTCTCGGATCGCCCGCACTGCCCGCACCGCTGGCGAACTCGGGGCTGCAGCGTTTCCCAAACTCCGGCGATTTGCAATTCCCCCTTTGTCTGCCTCCCCTGCATCCTCCAAACCTCCCGGAGCCCCTTCTGAGCAGCGCTGGGGGTGCCGGGGAGCCCAGGGCAGCCCCGGCGGGTGCGGGGGAAGGAGCCCGCACAGCTCTCGGGATGCGGGACCAGCTGCCCTGCCCCTGCCAGCATCAGGTGCTGGGCCAGGAGGGCGCTGTGCGTGTCCCCCACCTCCTCCTGGGCGCTTTTGGGTGCCACCGGTGTGACAGAGCCCAGCCGGAACGGGGGATGCCGTGGGACCGGAGCCGGTCCTGCACAGGGTGAGATTGGCTGAGGGTGCAGCAGGATGAGCTGCCCTGGGCTCCAGACCTTCTCTCTTCCCCAGCTGGGAGCTCTCCTTGCCCGATGCCACCGTGCCAAAGGCAGAGGTCCCCTCTCCTGCCAGGCTGGAGAACCTGCAGCAGCCCGGGTTGGCTGTTGGCTCTTTCCACCCTCATGGTGTGCAACAGTGCCAGCGTTACCAAAAACTGCCCAGGGCAGTCACAGCTGGGGTGTGAGCAGCTCCCCACAAAGACCTTGATGTTCACAAAGGTGAAACTGAGGCCCATGAGGGCAGCAGAACGTTCCCATGGTCCATGCTGGAGCTGGGAGTGGAAATCAGCTGTGCCCTGACACAGGGTCTGTGGGTGTGGAGAAAACCCATGGGATGGAAGCAGGGAGCAGGATCCCCCCACCACATGCCAGGATAACCCTGCCTGGACCTGCCACAGCCTCAGGTCACCTTCCTTGGAAAGCCAGCCCAGGCTCCAGCCCCTGACTGATGGGACCAAGGGTCAGCTTGTCCAGGGGGGAGGAAACACAGAGCTGACCTGTGCTCCAAAGCCCTCCTGGACTCTCCTCTTGGCTTTAATTCAACCCCTAAAGCTAAACCCAAACCAGAGTGCTGCCTGTTTGCTTCAATTCCCTGTCTTTGGGAAACGTGGCACTGCATGAGTGCTGCTCATCCCAACAGAGCTGTGTCCCTGGAGGAACTGGTGCTGCCCTGCCAGCTGAGTCCAGAGCTGGAACTGGGCTGGCCACTTCACAAGGCTGAGGTGCCATCACAGAGCACTCATTCCTCTGCCAGTGGGGACAGGAGGGTCAGAGTCCTCACCTGGGGGTGCAGGTGGTTTGGTTTCAGCAGGTTTCTGTGAGCAGTGTCTCCATGCAGAGATACAGGGGGATGAAGGGGATCAGGAGGAAGCTGATCTCTAATGGATGGTGGCTGCTGCCAGCACCAGGTCACCCCAGGACCCCCACAGCAATGCCAAATCCCCCTGCAGTTCCACACAAAACTGGTGGCCCCATGGACGTGGGCAAATGCAGAGCTGGGATGGAGAGAACCAAATCCCCTGGGGTTCAGCTGGGCACAGCCCTGTCCCACTCCCTGTCCATCCATCTCTCCCAAACCCACTGGGGAGCTGCTGGCTGCACTTTTGGCTTTATTCTCAGGGCAGATGGGATGAGCACGGAGCTCTGCCCAGCCTGGCTGTGCCACTCCTGCTCTGCACCAGGCAGAGATGCTTCTGGAGCTCAGCCCTTCGTGGGGAGATGGAGCAAGAGCGGGTTCTTGTTGCTGTTTTGGCTCCCTCAAATGTTTCTGTGGGGCCCTGGGAGTATTTGCTGAAGGTAAGGCTGGAGTGTGTGCTCACAGCATTCACACACAGCGTTATCTTCCGGAAATGAGGGATGGCCCTGGACCAGAAACGTCATATTTGTGAATGTCACCGTGGTGAGGGAGCACCCAGCCCTGGCTGGCTCTGCTGCCACCACCGGTGCCTGGGCAGCCACAGCAACTCCTTCCCACAGCCCCATTGTGCATCTGTCGGTCCTGGGCAGGATTGTCATCTTCTGAGTCAACCAAGCAGCACGAGGTGCTTCACCACATCCTGCAGGTGACGTCAAAGCGCCGGGCTCGCCGTCACAGCGCCGAGATGCTGAGTGATGGGGGGCCGGCTGCCCCACGCCCTTCTCCCAGCAGGGTTTGGGCAGCAGCAATGCTGGAGAGCTGGCTCCAGCACCCACAGCTGGCAAGCAAGTGCAGGGAGGTGCTGGCACTCATTTATCAGTTCAGCACAAAGCCAGGAAGAAACGATGAGCAGGTGCCACCCACTGTGTCTGGCCATGGGTGGGGCTGGGGCCCAGCTCCCGTGGAAGGTCAGCAGGAGCCAAGCTGCCAGGCTGCCTGTGCTCCCTCCATCCTGGGCACAGCCAGGCTGAGCCCCCTGGCAGCTCAGAAATTAGTGCAGCACCCTCACACTGCCACTGCCCAGGGCTCTGCCTTGTGCTGCAGGCACTGGGTGAGCCAGGGAAGGGAAAGGGAAGAAACAGGAGCAGGAGAGCTGGGGAGGGGCTGGGTGGGCACAGATGTGCAGCTGGGGTTTGTGAGCCTGGTGGGAAGGGCTGGGAGAGGCTGCTTGGGTGCAGCTCAAGCCTGGACATGGTGGGTGAGGGTTACAGCCTCGGGGTTTGGTGGGGGCTGCACCTCTGTGGCCAGAAAATGGGTGGGTGGCCAACCCAGGGGCTTTGCACCCAGGGACTTCAGTGCTTCAGAGGAGCCAGCTCAGGGTTGGAGCAGGGAGGTTTCCCCAGTCCCTGGTCCATCTGTTGGGTGGCGGAGGTGTTGGTGAACTCTGCTGTTGAGCACATGGGCTGGGGATCGCCTGCACTGGGAGATAAAAGGCAGCAAATGGGGCTGGGCAGCTCCCTGCACCCCAGGGCAGCTCCCTCCACCCCAGAGCAGCTCCCTCCACCCCAGGGCAGTTCCCTGCACCCCCAGGGCAGCTCCCTCCACCCCAGAGCAGTTCTCTGCACCCCAGGGCAGCTCCCTGTACCCCAGGGCAGCTCCCTGAACCCCAGAGCAGTTCTCTGCACCCCAGGGCAGTCCCCTGCACCCCAGGGCAGCTCCCTCCACCCCAGGGCAGCTCCCTGCACCCCCAGGGCAGCTCCCTGCACCCCCAGGGCAGTCCCCTGCACCCCAGGGCAGTTCTCTGCACCCCAGGGCAGCTCCCTCCACCCCAGGGCAGCTCCCTGCACCCCAGGGCAGCTCCCTGAACCCCAGTGCAGTTCCCTGCACTCCAGGGCAGTTCCCTGAACCCCAGAGCAGTTCTCGGGGCTGAGCCCACTCAGGGTGCAGAGCTGTGGGACACTTGTGTGGACAGCTTTGCCCTGGGGGATGTGCTGTCAGGACCAGGGCTGAAAGAGCAGCTCCCAGTGTCACCACCAGGTCTGGTACAGCCTCTGATGGCCTTGTCCTTGCTGTGAGCAGACCCTGCACTGCCCCCTGCAAGCCAAGGGAATAGACACGTTTGCTCGGGCTGGGATGAGCTGGATGATGCAGGATAAGAGCAGAAAGGCCCTGCAGAAAGCTGCAGCTCTGCATCTCTCTGGGGTGGCTCAGTCCCATCTTGGTGGACCCTCTTGAGCATTCTCCCTCCCTCCTCTCTCTGCCTGCTCAGGTGGTCTCAGGAGGAGCCTCAGGGGTGAGCTGGTGGGGCCCTGCTGTGCTGACCCCTGGGCTGCTTGGAGAGGTGGGGGCTTTGCAGGGCCCTGCTCCTGCTGGGATCCTGACTTCCCATGAGACACCAAGGCAAGACACACAGGCTTGATTTAAAAGCTGCCCTGCTCCACTGTTGGGGCTCAGCACCCTCAGCATGCCCTGGCAGCACTGGGATGGTGCAAGGAAGGTGCTGGGAATGAAACCTGCTTGGTGCTGCCCTTCCATCCACGCCTGGGGAGATGCTCCAGCCCCCAGTTCCAGACCCCAGGCAGGGTGCTGGGCTGTCCCCCCATGTCATGCCATGCCCCCAGAGTGGCACAGAGCAGGGTTTGGGTGGCAGATGGGTTTGGATCTGCTGCTGGGCAGGGCTGTGGGTGCTGCTGGTGTTGACAGGGGCCGTGGCAGGGACAGAAACTCAATGCCTGCTGTGCCCCTGTGCCAGGACACGTCATGCCAGCAGGGCTGAGGGGGGTGAGCTCCACTCCCCACCTGCCTTTACCTGTCCCCAGGCTCCAGCAGAGATCCTGTAACAAGGAGCCCTTGTCTCCTCCACAATAGCCCCCTTCTGGCTGCAGCACCTGCTGCTGGGGGCTCTGAAGGGCCTTTCTGTGTGGGGATCAATGGGAGCCTGTTCCCCTCCCGTGGGCTCCCACCCCCTGCTCCCCTGCCCACCCCCAGTGCCCCCCCAGGGGCTGGGGCGGCTCAGCCTGGCCCCGTGGGGCTCAGGGCACCCCAAGGTGCTCAGGGTGGGCAGCCCCTGCTGCTAATGAAGGATCAGGGCATGCCCCAGCCACTCCTATGGCAGAGGGTGTCCCATGCTCCCTGAGAACCTCCAGACCCCAGTTACTGGGGTAGAACAACTAAATGTGTCCTGCTAGCCTGTCCAGGTTATTCGGACTCAGGAGTGGTGGGATGGTGGCAAGAGCCAGGGAGGTCTCAGCAGGGTTCCCCCAAGGCTGCAGGCTGGGCTGGGTGTTGGTTTTGGTCCCTGGAGGTGGGACCCACCAGGAGATGGTGGCAGCACAAGCGCTGTATTTTGCAGATCCTCATCTCTCCACCTGTAAATGGGTGTGGGTGGGCACAGGCAGCGGTGAAGAGGAGATAAATGGAGGGGTCCTGGTGCTGCCCTGTGGCTCTCACAGGGGGGGGATGTCAGGGTGCTCAGTGTCACCTCCTCAGCTGAGCTTTCACTTGTCTTCTCCCAGCTTGCTGCAGCCAGGGCAGCTGGTCCTGGCTCCCTCGGGGACACCACAGGGAGCTGGCAGCCACAGGTGGGCTCTTGGAGGCAGCTTGGAGAGGTAAGGGGGGAAGATGCTCAGCCATCCTGGCAGGAACTGGGAGGCCCTGCCCGCTGTGGGCTTCCCCAGTGCCCAAGCAATGGATTTTTAACTCTGCCATATGTTTCCCCCATCCCAGTGGGAATTCCTTCAAGCCCTCTGCAGAGGTGGAGGAGCCAGAGCCCAGCAGAAAGCAGGTAATCATCAGCACAGTAATGTCCATGGTGCCCCTCCATGCTGGGTTTTGTTGCTTGAAGGGCTGTTTGGGGAGGCTGAGGAGGAGCAGCATCCTCTGGAAGGGGTTCACAGAGGAGCAGCCTTGTCCATCCACACAAGTGATTGTCCCCAGGCCTCCCTGCTGCCATTGCCCAGTGTGGAGGCTGGAGCCAGCATCACCACCCCCCTCCAGCCCCGTGACTCCTGGGCCAGCAGTGCAGGCTGGAGACTCATGGGGATGGACCCAGGCCCTGAGGGGAGCTGTTACTGTTCTGTTCTCACAGAGCAGAGCCCTTTCACGGGTTGCCCACACCTGAAGGTGCTGAATCTTTCACACCCTCAGGTGACTCTGTAAGCCCTGGTTCTGCCAGCCCCACTGAGCTGGCTGCCAAAGGCAGTTTTGCAGCACAAAACCAAGGCAGGAGGCAATGCCCAGCCTGGGTGACCCAGCAGAACATGTGATGAACAAGGAGCATTGCTGTCCCTGGGTTTGTTCTCACCTTGCTGAGGGGTGGAGGTGTCACAGGGAAGGCAAACCCAGGCTGGAGTTTGAGCAGGGATCCTCCTTCCTCCCTCCCAGCCCAGCCCCTGCCTCCACTCTGTAATGGCCAGAGCAAAGGCAGACCCCAAGTTTCGGGAGATCTTCCACTTCAACACCCCCGTGCTGATGTGGGACCAGCACTTCACCCTGGAGACCTGGAACAGGCTGAAGACACGACATGTCCCCTATGGCTGGCAGGGCTTGTCCCTCGCAGGTACAGACCCAGCTGGGGTGTGGGGCAGCTTGAGGGGACTGGGGAGCCCAGAAGAAGGGACTGGAGATGTGGGACAGGCAAGGAGCCCTGCAGAGGAGCCCGGAACGTTGATCTCTTCCCACCCCACCTCCCGGGGCACAGGGTGCGGCTCTTGCTGCATCTTGTGACATTTTCCCTGAATAAAAGCTCCAGTGTTGTCCATGATTATTAACTGGGGCCAGAGGAGCTCAGACAACCAGCTCCATTGTTGTGCATGGAGATTGTTTCCCTTCCCACACCAAACCCACTCTCTGTTTTCCCTGGCAGCTGCCAGCTTCAATCCCTGGGCTGGGAAGTGCTGGGAACAGTGAGCAGGAGAGAACCAGTGGCCATCTGCAGAGACATTGTCAGGAGGGGATGTGGCCAGCACAGGCAGCAGCATCTGCAGGGCTGGGGCAGGAGATATCTGGATGCATCCCTGTGCTTTGCACAGCCTTGGCTGGGTGGCCACTGTTTGTAGCAGGGTTAGGAGCATGAGGAGATGACACCAAGCTGGGAGAGGAGGGTCTATCTGGTGCCCCCATACCCCCCCCACCTGCAGACCTCTCTCCTGCACAGGGGCAGTGTGAGTTTCCTTATTGCTGCTCCTGGCTGTGCTGGGCCAGCTCTTGCACGTGCTCCCAGGGGTTGGCACACACCTTTTCCCTGCTGACTGGTCCCATCCTGCTCCATTGCAGTGGTGGGCAGCACCCTGCAGCTCCTCAACGCCTCGGCCAACCGGCAGCTCTTCGACAGGGCCGCCTTCCCCGGGGGCTGCGTCCGCTGCGCCGTGGTGGGCAACGGGGGCATCCTCAACGGCTCGCGGCAGGGCAAGGCCATCGACAGCCACGACCTGGTCTTCAGGTGAGAGTGAATCCCAGCCAGGGTGGGGCCATGGGTGAAATAAACACGGGGCAGGAGACCCATTTTCTTTTTAATGCCTTTATTAAAGGTGATCAGCTCAGGAGTCAGTGGGGAGAACTGGCAGATCCACACTCCCCCCACCATTGCTGCCAGGAGTGACTCAGAGGAGGAGAAAGAGTGCAGCTTTGTCCACTGGGTTGTGGGCAGAGCTGGGGGTTTCATCCTCATGAGAGCATCAGGAGATTTTCTTAATTTTCTGGTTTAACATTTGAGGTCCTCTGTCTAGCTGACATCCTTTGAGGTTAGGATGAGGGGTAAAAGGGTTTTAGCAGATACTAGATTCTGTTCCTCACATCGAGGCATCACTTTGATTTGTCTATTTCATGTTGTTTTTAGGGGTTTTTGGCTAGGTTTTGTGGGGGGCTTCTCCTGTTGCATGCTGGTTCTGAGGTCATTTGCATGCTAACTCTGGGTGCCATCCTCCAGGAAGCAGCAGGGTACCACTCGACAAAAGGGGGAATTCTTAACCATCAAGGACAGGTAGTTAACAAAAATGACAGGTGATTACAACAACAAACAGTTTGAACTCCACCCTGGCAGCAACCGGCAGAACCTGTGAACTCTGCAACCTTTAGAAAAAATGGGCAACTTTTCTACTCATAACAATGGGTGCTGGGAGATGCCAGCCCTGGACAAGTGTACTCTGCTTTTCTGGCAGGCTCAATGGTGCCGTGATCAAGGGCTTCGAGGAGGACGTTGGCACCAAGGTCTCCTTCTACGGCTTCACGGTGAACACCATGAAGAACTCCCTCATCTCCTATGAGGAGTATGGCTTCACCCAGGTCCCCCAGGGAAAGGTGAGACCCTGAGGGCTTGTTGGGGACTTGAATCAAGTTGTCCCTTCAGGCTGGGCTTGCTTCTGAGACCTTCTGTCTTGGTTTGGAAAGAAAGGTGTCTGCTAAGGAAGGCAGGAGCCTCCCCTGAAATGGAAAATGTAAACCGCCCCCGCTCTGAATTGCTATAAATTTTAAATTAAGGGGCTCTCAGGCAACAAAAATTATGGTAGCAGGAAGTAACAGTTCTTTAATAGGGAAGAAAATAAAAGCATAAAATAATCAATGCAGTAAACCAAAACAACACTGCCAGAGTCAGAAGCCAGCCTGACACCCTGTGGGTCAGGGTGCTGGCAGCAGAACCATTGGAATTGTGGCTCAGCCCTCCTGCAGTGTCAGGGCTGGCTCTGCTGGAGCAGGGATCCTGGAGAAAGGTGCAGTCTCTGCCTCTGAAGATCCAGGGCAAGAGGCAGCTGCTGTTCCTCTGGGGAATGCAGTGGAGAAGCTGTGCTGGTGTTCCAGAATCTCAGATTATATCCAGGTAGGAATGCTTGGCTCCTCCCTCTGGGCTCACATCTCCCAGTGGGATGCTGTAGTTCTTATCAGCCATGCAGGGACATTCAGTAGCTGTTATCAGCAGATGCCCTCTGCCGAGGGAGGAGTGGGTGTGGTCACTCAGAGAGAGATAAGGCAAACTGCCCACTTGACAAAAGCCAACTGCCATAGAGATGGTGATAGAATACATCTTGCCTTGAAATCTGGAACACTTTCTCCCAGTCTCGGGAGCCCTCAGTCCTCACCTGCAAGCATGGGCCGTGTCTCTAACCCCCCCTCCAAGTGCCCTGTGTGTGTCCCTGCTGCAGGACCTGAAGTACATCTTCATCCCCTCGGATATCCGGGACTACCTCATGCTGAAATCAGCCATCCAGGGCAGCCCAGTGCCCGAGGGCTCGGACAAGGGGGATGAGTGAGTAGCTTCCCAAGATCCCTGAGCACCTCCAGTGATGCAGGCATGACTGGCCTGTCCTCACCCCACATCTGTCCCTCCTGGGATAAACCCCAAGGAGCTCCAGGACTCCCATGACAAAGTTCTGCCCTTCTCCTTGCTTTGCTGCAGCCCACAGAAGTATTTTGGACTGGAGGCATCTGCAGAGAAGTTCAAGCTGCTGCATCCTGATTTTCTGCAGTACCTGACAGCAAGGTGAGGATGATGAGCACTGTGGCTGCTGTCTGGCTCTGCTCTGGGGTCAGACCATCTGCTTCCCCCTCTGCTCATTCCAGTACAGACCAGTAGTTGCCCAGCATCAAAGTGCAGTCCCAGTCTCTCCTAGACACTGGAACCACCCCTGCCCTGCAGTTTGCACACAAGGCAGAGGCATCTCTTCCCTGCCATTCCTGTTCATTGCAGCACAGCTCACATCCCCTCCTATGCCTCCCCGTGCTCACCTTGGTCCCATTCCCCAAAACAAATTACATCTTGTCCCAGTCTAGCAGGAGCAAAGGTAGGTCCCAACGGGATGGTCTTTTCCTGCCTTTCATGAAAGCAGGTGCCCAGGTTGGGGTGGCTCCAAACAGCAGAGAGGTGCCTTTTACCAGCCTCTGAGCAAATGGGAGCAGCCATCAGAGAGCCCACCTGAGCCCTTGTTTCACTGGGCACGGTGTCACTGGAGAGGGCTGGCTGGGTGTGGGGCTGGGGGCTGCAGGGCTGTGCCATCCCCACAGCCACCGTGTCCCCCCGTGTCAGGTTCCTGCGCTCAGAGCTCCTCAACACCCAGTACAGCTCCCTGTACATGCCCAGCACCGGCGCCCTCATGCTCCTCACCGCGCTCCACACCTGCGACCAGGTAAGGGGCCACAGGGCCACTGTTCCCCTGGGGAGAAGGGACTCCCCCCCTTGGCTGCTGTGGTGGCTGTCCTACATATCCCCTGTCCCTGAAGGGAGTGCTGGTGGTGAGGGACCACCCAAGGTGAAGCCTTGACCCTTCCTCTGTCTGCCCCACCTCCTTCCCCCCAGGTCAGTGCCTACGGGTTCATCACAGCCAACTACGAGCAGTTCTCAGACCACTACTACGAGGTGGAGAAGAAACCTCTGGTGTTTTATGCCAACCATGACATGATGCTGGAGGCAGCACTGTGGAGGAGCCTGCACCGTGCAGGGATCATCACCCTCTACCAGCGCTGAGGCTGGGAGGTTGCCCACAGGGCCAAGTCCAAGGACTCTTGTGTGGCTCTTCTCCTTTCTCCTGAGGGTCACCTTCTCCCTCCTGAGGGCTCTCCCCAGCTGGCCAGCCAGCCCACGGAGCAGGCTTGCTGCACCACAGCCAGCAGTGATGTGAGGATAACGGGGAAGCTGGTGCTGGTGGAGGAATGTTGCATCTCCTCAGGGATCAGTGTGATGGAACGTGGCCTTTGGGGCAGCCAGAAGCACCACAGCACGTGGCTGTGCCCTGCCAGCCCCATGAATGTGGCTTTGGGGCAGCAGTGGCCCCTGTGGAGCACAGGAGGGGCAGGGTGATGCTGGAAGAGGATGCTGGAAAATGCCCTTCACTTTAAATGCTCATCACCATGGTGGGACCACAGCAGGCAGGATAAATCCTTGCACTGGAGCTCAGGTGACAAGAGGTGACACGTCTGGAGAACACCTCTCTCCAGAAAGACTGCAAAGTCCCAGCTGTGTGTGGATGTGTGCCACGTTCCAGAAGGATCTGTTTGCCTCCCTGGTCAGTGGCACAGAGAGCAGGACAGATACAGTGGGCCCTGTCACTTCCCCTTCTTGAGGTCTGGTGTTTTCTGACAAGGAAGAGGCTCAAAAGCCATCAGCTCCAAGAAGGGTCACAGCAGCTCAGCCAGGACACCAGGAACACATCCAGGCTGAGCAGCCCAGAGGTGACACTGGCCTCAGCCATGTGTGTGTGGCACTGGCTTTGTCAGCCTTTTCTTGCACAGGAACTCTGTGGTGCCTCTGAGAGGCAGCCCCACACCAGGTGGGTCAAAGTGATGGTCACTCCTAATTTCCTTCCCCAAACCCCAAGGGAGAGGAGGGTCCTGAACCCTTCAGCTGTCCCTCAAACACCAGCACTGCTCAGGGAGACCCACCTGGGGAGGCTTCTCCAGCTGGTGGGGGCTGGAGACAGAGCAGTGTAATCCAAGACACTTTCCCACTTTGTGTAATTACATAAATGTTGAATGATTGTTTTCCCTAACACCTGTTTCTGTTCTTTTGGTGAACTGGGTGGGGTGAGACCCCCCTTTTACCTCCCACAGCAGAGGAGCAGTAATAGGGAGTAGAGATTTCAACTGGGGAGCAGCTCCAGAGGCAGATAGGGATTGAAACCAGTTTAAATCATGGAGACTCAAGACTTTTAGCTCTTAGCACAGCCCTTTTCCACTTGGAATGCTATTTACTGTACAAGGTTGGTGCACAGAGATGGCAAAAGATACCCTGGCCCTGAGCCAGGGAACCTCCAAACCCCCTGAAGCTCCAGCAGGCTGCTTCCAGCTGGTTCACAGACTCAGGTTAGGCTCCAAGCCTGTTCCAGATGTAATCTCTAGCCTGGGGCCCATCTTGTGTTCCCACGTCTCAAATAAACCTTTGTTCCCATCAGAGCCACCCTACACTGGTACCACAGCAGCCTGTCAGGCCTGTTTTGTGTTCCCAAACACTCAGCAAAACCTCAGGTGACACGAATGAGTTTGATCCTCACATCTCCTGGCCAAGACACCCTGAAACCTCCTCAAACCAGCTCTGGCCAAGCCTCAGGTGACATCAGCAGCACTGTGACACTCAGGGTAGGATGAGCAGGATGGTGCTGCCATGGTGCTGCAATCCTGCCTGGAATCATCCAGCTCACAGGCACACCAGGAACCAAACACTGGGAACCACAACCTTCCTTTCCTCTCTCAAAAAGGGACATTCCCAGCCAAGGGTGGAGCTGGAGTTAACTCCATTTTAAGGACTTAATCATGACTGTATTCCCAAGCACACCACAAGAACCACTTGGCACCAGACCTGAGCCATAAGCTGGTTTTGTCACACTGTTCCCATGAATTACTTCTGGGACAGAAACTGCAGACATTGAAGTCTTTGTGTTATCAGGTTTGCTATGAAGGGTAAGCTCACAAGTGCCATTGCAGGAAGGGTTTTAATCCAAAATCCTTCATACCTGCACAAAACCATTTCTAAGAAGAATCAGAATCATTACAGCTAGAAAACACCTTTAAGAGCATGGACTCCAACCTTTATAGAAATAACCAAATAAAACCCAACTTCGACTCATAAGATTTTCCACAACTTATTTTATTCTGGAACAGGAGAAAGCAGGGAACCACTTTTTCCTCCAGCCAACTGTACATCAGGTCCTGGTGGAAAAAAAAAACAAAAAACAACATTATCAGAGCAGCTGAAAAGGTCCTGATTTGCACTATTTAATCTGGAGTACAGGTCTCAGCAGACAAAACCTTGCTCCCACCCAGGCCAATGGCACTGGTACCCAGATCCTTTTTGGTTTTAGTGGTCCCTTACCCTTGGTGTGGCTGCAGCAACCACTGAGCAGTGAGGAGGAGCCTGTGGCTACACACAAGTGGCCATTTCACATGACATATCAGATATCAGCAGTCATTTGTGACATCAGTCCAGAACAATCTTCCTTCTAGATCTGTGAGAAACCACAAACCAAGGCTGTAACTGTTTTCCTAAAAAAGTCCATTCTGAAACAATCCCTGCCCTTCTGATCTCAAAGCACTGAGTAGCTTTTACTTGTTTACACTCCCATTTATCATCAGGCTGCCTCTCCACTTTCTTTTCCCTTGGAAGTCAAAAGCTCCAGGTGCTTGTCCCAGTGCCTGATGCTGTCTGGGAGACAGCTGTGCTGTCAAAGCACCCCAATGCCTGATTTGTGGTGCCATTCCCTCCCCTTTCACAGTCCTGATGACAGTCCCTGTCACCAGCTCTGCTGGCCTGTCAGAAGCTGTTATTGACCTTCTGCAAACAAAAACCAAATTCTGTTCAATAAAGCGTAAAATCATTTAGCAGAAGGCAGCTGTCAGCTGCCCAAGACAAAGTGCTGTTCCAGCCTGTGTGTTCAGTGACTGTACATCAGGGAAGATAAAAAATGCATTTCTTATCTGCCCTTCAACTTGTCAATGTTTGCACAAGGAACTTGAAAGCTCTTTGCAGCTCTAAACTGTGCTATGACAACAGCAGTGCTGCAGCTGTGCTTGGGACTGCACCTGACTGCTGTCACACGGCCCAGGGTGGCAGGACAGGGGACAGATTCTGTCACACTGGTGCCACTCACACCTAAGGGGACAGATTCTGTCACACTGGTGCCACTCACACCTGTGGACTCTTTGCAAGGGCAGGGGACCCACTGAGGGAAGCATCTGAGCCTCAGTGGACATTTTCCTCCTCAAGGTGAGTATCAGACAGGGATAACAGCACATCACAGGCTCAGTGTCTGTCCCTGGCTACACAAACCCCTTGTGCTCCCCAAAACCACACACAGTACAGATCCACAGCTGTTCTCCCTGTGATTTTTCCTGGTAAACCTTCAGAGATTAGGCTCTGCAGGCCTAGCATGTAATTAATGAATTAAAACCAAACAACACACAACACTGAAGAATTCAATTCTCTTACCAGCCTGAAGCCAAACACAGCAGATGCCCTCTGCCAAAGCTGTCCTTGGGTAACAGCAGCCCCAGGAGTCTGCAGGACCATTTCCTCCTAAATACAAGTTGCAATGAACACTGTTAGCAAAAGTACTTTATAAATAAAGTCGATTTTCTTTTCCTCACCTTTCCTGAGAAAAAAAAACCAACCCAGCCCTGGATGACAGAGCAGGAATTAGACAGAAATTCTCCATTCAAAGATAGGCAACTTTTGTCTCACAAACTTAAGAGAGCAGAAACCTGTCCCTCAAGACACAGAGGAGCATGTTTGCCAGGGGGCTGTCTCATTCACAGACAAGAAACTTTGGGAGGTGGATGCTATTTAAAGCCTTGCTTAGGGAAGCTCTGAGATATTGGTGGTTTGGACCCTTTTAAGCTGTTTCAATCTGACATTCTCCTCATCTTCCAGAAACTTCCCAGTCTAATTTCTTCCCTGCACACAAGAATATTCCATCCATCCATGGTGTAATTTGCCTATGGGTTTATCTTAAGAAATGCATTCATCAGACCTAGGACAGCCACATCCCCTCAGGTGAAAGATTCCTCAGGGTGTGTCCTTCACAGGGTGACCCTTTGGGGCAGGTGAGCTGCACCTCCCCACCCCCAGCAACCTGATGCAAGTTTGAAACTGTCCCAGAGCACCTCCAGGCAGCCAAACAGAGCAATTATTCTGTCACTAGGTCTATTTTTGTGACAGATACAGTTATGAGATGAGCTGTGTCAAGTGTCTCCATAATGGGCTGTCATCCAATCCCTCCTACCTCCCACCCTTCTAATCTGGCTCATCTCTGACCATGCTGACAAGCAGGTGCTCTGCTGGGCACCAACACCATAGAATTCCCATTCAATCCATGCTGCTTTTCAGCTTGTGCTCTGTGCCAGCAAAGGGCAGCACACTCAGGTGGCAGCTGTGACAAAGCTACAGCCTTTAATGGCTTAATTACATTCATCAAGCCGTTGGGCTTTTATATCCCCTCCCAGGAGCCCCAGGAATTCAGGAGGGTATAATTTGAGACAGCAGTGCCAGTCTTTCTTCCATAACCCCCCTCGAGGAGAAAAAGAAAACCAGACTATGCCAAGACAGATGCTGCTGTTTCTCACCATTGTGAAGGTGCACTGTGGGTAAATCAGCTCCCCAGCCAGGGGAGTGATTTCACCCCTTCTTGACACGGTGTCATGCTCTGAAACCGAGAACGGGGACAGAGTTAGTTCAGGTACCAAATCACTCCTTTACCTTTGTGTCTCTAACACTGAGCCTCAGAGTTACACTTCCACAGAAGAAATATCAAATTCAGACAGGGATAACTTTTATCATCATCACTAGCTCAGCTTCCAGAACAGCTAAAGAGTAGAGGACCATCCCAAATCGCAGATCTGTTCTTGCCCTCGTGGCTGTCACGCTCCTCACCCGGGTAGCACCGATGCCTGCGGGTACACGCGGCTCCCCGGCCCGCTGAACCCCCGCCTCGGGCGCTGGGAGACAGCCCCGGCTGAGCCGAACCCGCTGCCCATAAAACGCTGAGCACGGCTCGGGCCAGCCCGCGGTTCCTGGTGCAGCCCCGTCACGGCAGGGCCGGAGCCCGCCGGGCCCAGAGCCCCCTGGCCTTGCTCTCTCCGTCCACCATGGCGGGGAGAGGGGCCACTATCCCGCCCCCCCCATGCAGCCCTCAAGCCCTCGCCGCAGCGCTACGGGCGGTTCCGGCAGCGTACGGGAGTTCCCCGCACACCGTCCGGCCGTCCCCGCGCCCCTCGAGGCCGCCGTGCCCGCGGATGACGGCCGATGGTGGCCGGGCCCACTCACCACACGCAGCTCCGCCGCCATGCTGGCTCAGAACCCGCGGGGAAGAGGAGCGGCCGCGGGGGCTCATGGGAACTGTAGTCCTGGGCCGTGAGGGCGCATGGGAACTGTAGCCCGGCCCCCTGAGGAGCGCGGGGGCTGACGGGAAGTGTAGTCCCGTCCCTCAGGAGTAAAGAGCGCTCCTGCCCCCCCTTATCCCACTCCTTAATGGTATTTACTAATTATTTATTAATTCTTCATGTCTCCTGTTCATTAGGGAGACACGTATAATTGTTCTTAGTCGGCCAAATGCTTCAAAAGGCTGAACATGCATTAGCTCATGGAGGAAGGGCTAATTAGCTGGACATCGGGGATTAGTCAGAGATTAGTTAGTAAATGTGTGTGTCACGCTTTGAATGTGCAATGATTCCAGGATGTGCTTTGATTGTCCTTTGCTGTTAAAACCTGACAGGATCCTATTTAGCTTATACATGAAACTATACATGAAATTATACATGAAACTATGGATGACTCTATTTAGCTTGTATATGAAGTCTGTGTGAACATAAACAAAGTGCAAACAGAACCGAGGAGAAGAAACATAAAAATAATATCTACATTCTTGCCCCAAAGGCTTATCCATCCTTGTGATAAAGAGCTCGAGTGAATGGGAATGGAGAGACAACACACCAGAATCTGAAAGCAGCCAAGTGTGAGTACAGAATCCAACCCCAGTGCCACCCCTGAAATGTCTGGGAATCGCAGGATTCCTGGTCCCCTGGGGTGTTTGGATCAGAGGTGGGCTCACGGACAGTTGCTAAATTCCCACATTGCCTTTGCTCTCCAAAATGGCCCATGCTGTTCCTTAAAGTTTCATTTAAAAGTCTACTATTGTAAATCAAAGGCAACTCCAATGAAGGGGAGAGAATGATACATCTGATTCTATTGATATCAGAAAGATAATGAATTACTTTATTATACTATACTATGTGTATTTCATCTAAACTGAATCTGCCAAGCACTCACTCTGCACACACCTGCTCACACTGCACTGAATCTTGTGATTCTCACCCAACAATCCACACACACACACACACACACAAACACAGTCCTGGCCCTGATAGGCCAAGGAAATAAAACATCCTCACTTTGGATAAACAATCTCCATATTGCATTCTACTTTG